AAACACCTTATGCTTTGCTGTCACAGGCTATGAGTTATATCGGTTGATAATAATGTTTATGAAAATAAGAACGGTGCCTTTTTATAGTCGTGGCATATAAAACAATGCCATTACTTCCTTAACTCTTAAATGGCAACTATATCTTGAGTCAACATTACCCAGAATGCTATGGAGAAATTTATTCGTAAACTATGCCTTAGCTCACAAAATTTGAAATTTACAAATAAGTGTATATTTTCGTAACTTGTTATTTGTAGTTTTTTAAACGACAGTGTTTATTTTTTAATCATTTTTAAGTATCGCCACGTAAAAGATTTATAATGCCCATAGAGTAGAGGTACAGGGTATTTGTTCATATAGGGATAGTGGAAGCAGGCCAACTCATACTTACCTGACAGGGGAGGCACCATGATCATTTAGGTGGTCCTCCCAGGGTGAGGCTCATCCATTGCACTGTGGGTGGGTTGACACCTGCGATTTCCCCAAATGCGGGAAACTCGACTGTATAATTTGTGATACTGGGGGACTGCGTTCGCGCTATCCCCTGAATATTTAAGGACAAAATAGGTTTGCTTTGCATTATGAATATCGATAAGATCTGTAATCTCATGTGAATCTTAGTCCCTAATCACTCTCTCCCTAATCACTCTCTCCCTAATCCCCCATTAATGCAACTGAGGTGCTTGCGTCCGGGGGTGGAATTCCTTTCCAGCTCAGACCCTGCTTGCTTGCCCATCGCCACATATACAGCCTTGTTGTAGCTGCTTTCTCCTAAGTTCAACAGTTCCACTGCTGGATTATATTTTTTCCGCCTGAGGACGACTGCTTGTATTGCGATCGACACGTCGTGATTTATTTTAATTCATACCAACGTGACTTTACCGAAATAACCAAAGAGTATAGATAACACAGTCAAATTATCCATAATAGAGGTTTGTTGGGTGGTTGGCGGGTTTAACGACACATTTATATATTGACGAGATCTAACCCAAAACACCTCTATTTTGGATGATATTGGTCCCGAAAGCCTACGTGTAATAATTACATTATTTTTGATTCAGCCTTGCAACCAGATTTGTTGGTGATTGGCCAGTGGCATGGTGAAAAGCTGATCATCTTGCTGGTTTAACACGCAAAAAATACTGTGAAAACAAATTCAGCGCAATTTACTAAACACATTATGCTTTGTTCTTCATAGACTATGAGTTATATCGGTTGATAATAATGTTTATGAAAATAAGAACGGTGCCTTTTTATAGTCGTGGCATATAAAAAAATGCCATTACTTCCTTAACTCTTAAATGGCAACTAATATCTTGAGTCAGCATTACCCAGAATGCTATGGAGAATTTTACTCGTAAACTATGCCTTAGCTCACAAAATTTGAAATTCCCAAATAAGTGTATATTTTTGTAACTTGTTATTTGCAGTTTTTTAAACGACAGTGTTTATTTTTTTAATCATTTTTAAGTATCGCCACGTAAAAGATTTATAATGCCCATAGAGAAGAGGTACAGGGTAGTTGTTCATATAGGGATAGTGGAAGCAGGCCAACTCATACTTACCTGACAGGGGAGGCACCATGATCATTTAGGTGGTCCTCCCAGGGTGAGGCTCATCCATTGCACTGCGGGTGGGTTGACCCCTGCGATTTCCCCAAATGTGGGAAACTTGACTGTATAATTTGTGATACTGGGGGACTGCGTTCGCGCTATCCCCCGAATATTTTAGGAAAAAATAGGTTTGCTGTGCTTTATGAATATCGATAAGATCTGTAATCTCATGTGAATCTTAGTCCCAAATCACTCTCTCCCTAATCCCCCATTAATGCAACTGAGGTGCTTGCGTCTGGGGGTGGAATTCCTTTCCAGCTCAGACCCTGCTTGCTTGCCCATCGCCACATATATAGCCTTGTTGTAGCTGCTTTCTCGCAAGTTCAACAGTTCCACTGCTGGATTATATTTTTTCCGCCTGAGGACGACTGCTTGTATTGCGATCGACACGTCGTGATTTATTTTAATTCATACCAACGTGACTTTACCGAAATAACCAAAGAGTATAGATAACACAGTCAAATTATCCATAATAGAGGTTTGTTGGGTGGTTGGCGGGTTTAACGACACATTTATATATTGACGAGATCTAACCCAAAACACCTCTATTTTGGATGATATTGGTCCCAAAAGCCTACGTGTAATAATTACATTATTTTTGATTCAGCCTTGCCAACCAGATTTCTTGGTGATTGGTCAGTGGCATGGTGAAAAGCTGATCATCTTGCTGGTTTAACACGCAAAAAATACTGTGAAAGCAAATTCAGCACAATTGACTAAACACCTTATGCTTTGCTGTCACAGGCTATGAGTTATATCGGTTGATAATAATGTTTATGAAAATAAGAACGGTGCCTTTTTATAGTCGTGGCATATAAAAAAATGCCATTACTTCCTTAAGTCTTAAATGGCAACTATATCTTGAGTCAACATTACCCAGAATGCTATGGAGAATTTTACTCGTAAACTATGCCTTAGCTCACAAATTTGAAATTTCCAAATAAGGGTATATTTTCGTAACTTGTTATTTGTAGTTTTTTAAACGACAGTGTTTATTTTTAAATCATTTTTAAGTATCGCCACGTAAAAGATTTATAATGCCCATAGAGTAGAGGTACAGGGTATTTGTTCATATAGGGATAGTGGAAGCAGGCCAACTCATACTTACCTGACAGGGGAGGCACCATGATCATTTAGGTGGTCCTCCCAGGGTGAGGCTCATCCATTGCACTGCGGGTGGGTTGACCCCTGCGATTTCCCCAAATGCGGGAAACTCGACTGTATAATTTGTGATACTGGGGGACTGCGTTCGCGCTATCCCCCGAATATTTAAGGAAAAAATAGGTTTGCTTTGCATTATGAATATCGATAAGATCTGTAATCTCATGTGAATCTTAGTCCCTAATCACTCTCTCCCTAATCACTCTCTCCCTAATCCCCCATTAATGCAACTGAGGTGCTTGCGTCCGGGGGTGGAATTCCTTTCCAGCTCAGACCCTGCTTGCTTGCCCATCGCCACATATATAACCTTGTTGTAGCTGCTTTCTCGCAAGTTCAACACTTCCACTGCTGGATTATATTTTTTCCGCCTGAGGACGACTGCTTGTATTGCGATTGACACGTCGTGATTTATTTTAATTCATACCAACGTGACTTTACCGAAATAACCAAAGAGTATAGATAACACAGTCAAATTATCTATAATAGAGGTTTGTTGGGTGATTGGCGGGTTTAACGACACATTTATATATTGACGAGATCTAACCCAAAACACCTCTATTTTGGATGATATTGGTCCCGAAAGCCTACGTGTAATAATTACATTATTTTTGATTCAGCCTTGCAAACCAGATTTGTTGGTGATTGGCCACTGGCATGGTGAAAAGCTGATCATCTTGCTGGTTTAACACGCAAAAAAATGTGAAAACAAATTCAGCGCAATTTACTAAACACCTTATGCTTTGCTGTCACAGGCTATGAGTTATATCGGTTGATAATAATGTTTATGAAAATAAGAACGGTGCCTTTTTATAGTCGTGGCATATAAAACAATGCCATTACTTCCTTAACTCTTAAATGGCAACTATATCTTGAGTCAACATTACCCAGAATGCTATGGAGAAATTTATTCGTAAACTATGCCTTAGCTCACAAAATTTGAAATTTACAAATAAGTGTATATTTTCGTAACTTGTTATTTGTAGTTTTTTAAACGACAGTGTTTATTTTTTTTTATAATTTTTAAGTATCGCCACGTAAAACATTTGTAATGCCCATAGAGGAGAGGTACAGGGTATTTGTTCAGATAGGGATAGTGGAAGCAGGCCACCTCATACTTGACATGGGAGGCACCATGATCATTTAGGTGGTCATCCCAGGGTGAGGCTCATCCATTGCACTGCGGGTGGGTTGACCCCTGCGATTTCCCCAAATGCGGGAAACTCGACTGTATAATTTGTGATACTGGGGGACTGCGTTCGCGCTATCCCCCGAATATTTAAGAAAAAAATAGGTTTGCTTTGCATTATGAATATCGATAAGATCTGTAATCTCATGTGAATCTTAGTCCCTAATCCCTCTCTCCCTAATCCCCCAATAATGCAACTGAGGTGCTTGTGTCCGGGGGTGGAATTCCTTTCCAGCTCAGACCGTGCTTGCTTGCCCATCGCCACATATATAGCCTTGTTGTAGCTGCTTTCTCGCAAGTTCAGCAGTTCCTCTGCTGGATTATATTTTTTCAGCCTGAGGACGACTGCTTGTGTTGCGATCGAAATCTCGTGATTTATTTTATTTTATACCTACGTGGCTTTTCCGAAATAACCAAAGAGTATGCATAACACAGTTAAATTATCCATAATAGAGGTTTGTTGGGTGGTTGGCGAGTTTAACGACACATTTATATATTGACGAGATCTAACCCAAAACACCTCTATTTTGGATGATAATGGTCCCGAAAGCCTACGTGTAATAATTAAATTATTTTAGATTCAGCCTTGCAAACCAGATTTGTTGGTGATTGGCCAGTGGTATGGTGAAAAGCTGATCATCTTGCAATTTACTAAACACGTTATGCTTTGCTGTCACAGGCTATGAGTTATATCGGTTGATAATAATGGTTATGATAATAAGAAGGGTGCCTTTTTATAGTAGTGGGATGTAAAAAATGCAATTACTTCCTTAACTTAAGGTAAACCCTCTTAAATGGCAACTTCATCTTGAGTCCACATTACCCAGAATGCTATTGAGAATTTTACTCGTAAGCTATGCCTTAGCTAGCAAAAAATTAAAATTTCGAAATAAGTGTATATTTTCGTAGCGTGTTATTTGTAGTTTTTTAAAAGACAGTGTTTATTTATTAAGTATCGTCACGTGAAAGCTTTTTAAGGGCGCATAGAGTAGAGCTACAGGGTTTTTGTTCGTATAGGGATAGTTGGAACAGCCCAACTCATACTTATCTGATAGGGGAGGCACCATGATCACTTAGGTCGTCCTCCCAGGGCGAGGCTCATCTATTGCGCTGCGGGCAAGGGTGGGAAAAACCCGATTATTTTGCCTGACAAATCTCGTTATTGGTTTTAGTGGAATTAAACCTGATTTTGCCGATTAAAACCTGTTTTGATTATCGGCGTCTCGAGCACACTTCAATCCTGCTCCTCGTCTTCGTCCGCTCCCTCTTCGTCGTCGCTCTCGCTGCTGTTGTCGGTCGTCGGGCGTCGGGTAGTCGTGGAACGCGTTGAGGTTCGACTTAATGAAGACGAGCTTCTCGACTATGTTGGGCGCCAGGCTGTTCCTCAACTTGGAATGGATAAATCCCATAGTCGAGAAGTTTTGCTCAGACGCGGTGGTCGACGTGGCCATGCTGAACGCACCGCGTGACTCACGAGCATGGCGGCTGAGCCCGGGCCCCAGCCCGAACGCCGCTAATGGGTGCGTGCGACTGAAATCCCGACTTAACTTTAATAAATCAGAATAAAACCGGATTTGGACAGGATCCAGGTGCTCCGGTTTTATAAAAAAAAAAAACGATTAAATCCCGAATGAATAAACGGGCGGTGCCAGCCTTGACTGCGGGTGGGTTGACCCCTGTGATTTGCCCAAATGCGGGAAACTCGACTGTATAATTTGTGATACTGGGGGACTGCGTTCGCGCTATCCCCCGAATATTTAAGGAAAAAAAAGGTTTGTTGTGAATTATTAATATTGGATAAGATCTGTAATCTCATGTGAATCTCTGTCCCTAATCACTCTTTCCCTAATCCCTCTCTCCCTAATCCCCCATTAATGCAACTGAGGTGCTTGCGTCCGGGGGTGGAATTCCTTTCCAGCTCAGACCCTGCTTGCTTGCCCATCGCCACATATATAGCCTTGTTGTAGCTGCTCTCTCGCAAGTTCAGCAGTTCCACTGCTGGATTATATTTTTTCCGCCTGAGGACGACTGCTTGTGTTGTGATCGAAACGTCGTGATTTATTTTATTTTATACCTACGTGACTTTACCGAAATAACCAAAAAGTATGGATAACACCGTTAAATTATCAATAATATAGGTTTGTTTGGGTGGTTGGCGGGTTTAACGACACATTTATATATTGACGAGATCTAACCCAAAACACCTCTTTTGGATATTGGTCCCGAAAGTCTACGTGTTATAATGAAATTATTTTAGATTCAGCCTCGCAAACCAGATTTGTTAGTGATTAGCCAGTGGCATGGTGAAAAGCTGATCATCTTGCTGGTTTAACACGCAAAAAAATACCGTGAAAACAAATTCAGCGCAATTTACTAAACACCATATGCTTCGCTGTCAATGGCTATGAGTTATATCGATTTATGATAATGTTTATGATAATAAGAACGGTGCCTTGTTATAGTTGTGGCATATAAAAATGCAATTACTTCCTTAACTGAGGGTAAACCCTCTCAAATGGCAACTTTATCTTGAGTCAACATTGCCCAGAATGCTATTGAGAATTTTACTCATAAACTGTGCCTTAGTTAAAAAAATGTTTTAACTTTCCAAATAACTGTATATTTCTGTAACGTTTTATTTGCAGTTTTTTTAAGACAGTGTTTATTTATTAAGTATTGTCACGTAAAAGCTTTTAAGGGCCCATAGAGTAGAGGTACAGGGTATTTGTTCATATAGGGATAGTGGAAGCAGGCCAACTCATACTTATCTGATAGGGGAGGCACCATGATCACTTAGGTGGTCCTCCCAGGGCGAGGCTCATCTATTGCACTGCGGGTGGGTTGACCCCTACGATTTCCCAAAATGCGGGAAACTCGACTGTAACACATTCCTGCGGAGGGAGGTGGTAGGAACGTTGGGTTGCTCGGTGAATGGCCAGGGTTAACGGCGGCGTGGTGTATTCTGAGGGCGGGCACAAGCCAGCGAGAGTAGGTTAAACGTTGAGTTGTATAAGGGCACCACGGGGTGACCAGCCCCTCTCCACCCAGCCCCAACCTCCCCACCCAGTACCTCCCCTCCCCACCTAGCCCCACCCTCCCCACCCAGACCCTCCCACCAGCCCCTCCCCACCCTCCCCTCTCCACCCAGTCCCTCCCTCCATTAGTGGATGCATGACGGACGGTCGGACACAATAATCCCCTGTGGGCTGTTGTAACCAGGAGGTTCCTACCAGTATAATTTGTGGTACTGGGGGACTGCGCTATCCCCCATTTTTAAAGAAAAAAGAGGGTGCTTTGTTCTTGTGATAAATATAATTTCTGGATTGTTGAAAGATAACTGGTAAGCATTTTCATAATTAAAATCAATCTGCCCATTATCTCCCTGCCAGCCAGCAAAAATTTGAATCTTACATATACTGCCCTGCCTTTCTCAACCACGTTCTTCCCTTCTCTGTTCTGTATATCCCAAGTTCTCTCAATTTCTTGCTTTTTCTCTGTGTCTCTATTTCTCTGTCCCCTCTTCTACCTATATCTCTGTATTACACTCCGCCCTCCATTGTATCTCACCCACTTCCCTATCTCTCTCCCTGTTCATCTCTCACGCTTGTTCTCCACATTTCCACCTCTCCCATTCCCATATCATTCTCCCTTGACTCTCTGTAATCCCCCTTCCTAATGTTTGTAACTTTTAATTGCCTTTCCTATTCCCATTTGGCTCTATCTTTCCTCTGTTTCACAACCTTACGCTCTCTCCATCGCCTTGCATGACATCCCTCTTTCTCACACATTGCTCGGGCTACACATCCGGGGTGGAGGGTTGCTGGGGGAGAGAGATGTGATATCAACACGCACAATAACTGCTCAAACGCCAGCCAGCCAGACAGGAATCCAGCCAGGAATCCACTTAGAATACAGTTTTAGATATATAATGTTAGTATGATTTAAATAACTAACTAAATACACATATTCAACTACATGTCCACCAACTTATGAATACATATTTCCATAAGCTATTTTATTTTCATTTGCGTGGGAAAATGGAAGGACCCCATAGCCTAGAGAGAGGTTTCTGTCGGTTAATAGGTTGAGCAGTCAAAGGGGTGAGAGTAATCTCTGGTTTCTCTTCAAAGTGAATACATCTTTCGCCTTTTACTAAAGATTTCCGTGGAGAGGCAGGCGGGTACCCTGTCCGGCAAGCCTGTGGTTGCTTTGCCAATAGATATGGAGATCTGCCAAGCTGTGGAGATGAGCTGGAATGAGCAAGCCACATCGATTACTGCGGAGGTGGAAGCTGCCACAGCTCAATGATCTGGAGTGCAGAAGGAGAGTGCCTTAGCTCAGTCGTCAGTCTCGACTGAGGGGAGTCAGCTGCTGGGGAGGCTGGACGTGCCTGCTGGCCTCGACAGGAGTGCTACGGACAACGGGGAGTCTGCCTGCCAGCGGGCACAGACTGCTAAGGTTAATACAGAACTTGCATCGGCGGAACAGCACCAGGAACGTGCAGGACGTCGGCGCGGTGGGCCGAGAGCAGGCTTCACACCGGATCATGCCAGATACCACAACTGTGTCCGGGTTGCCTTCAAGGAGGACGTGCCTGAAGAGGTGACTATGGACCGCTCGACTTTTGTGCGAACGGTGGTTATGGGAATGCTGCAATTTGAGCCCATGGACCTATTTTTTTCATTGCTTTGCCGGGCGGCAGAGTCTTTGAAGTCAGTTTTAAAATGAGCAATTTACTACAACGCTTTCTGATACGTTTTGAAGAAAAAGCAGGCGAGAGGCCCCTGTCTCTGCTCAAGTTGCATTTGCTGTCAGAATTGGACACGAAAATGGTGACGGTCTTTTTGTACAATGATTCGCTACCGGATCATGATGTGGGGGTGTGGCTGCGACAGCATTGCCATCTGTTGTCAAACTGCAAACGCGTCCAGGACTCACTGGGCATCTGGACTGATGCTAGACAGTGGCGGGTGAGGTTACAGTAAGAGCTGCTGTCGGTGCCCTGAAACACATTCCGAGAGCCCTCAACATTGGTGGTAGTAAAGGCTTCTCGTTGTCTACGAAGGCCAACCCAAGCTCTGCAGCAGGTGCGGTGGTCGGAGTCATCTAGCAGCGGCATGTGAAGCAAGAGTGTGCTACCGCTGCAAGTCTCTGGATCATGCAGTGGATGAGTGCCAATCCCCAGCGCAATGCAACCTTTGTGGAAGCAAAAAACATTTATACATATGCAAATATGGTCGGGCGCGTAAAAACCAGGCTGCTGATGGAGGGTGCAGAAAGAAAGCTGAACCTCTCTTGGAACACACTCCACATTATTTGGCTTCTGACGATGTTGATGGAGCGACAGTCGTCCAGAGAACGCCACTATTGGAGCAGAAGGAAAGAGAGGAGCTGGAAGCGCTGCCTGTGGATGGGGGAGCATCTACGAATCAGCAGGAAGATTGTTCCAAGGCCAATGTGATGGAGGAGGCAGTCTCTGAGCCAATGGTGGCTGACTGGGCTGTGGAAGTTGAGACGACAGAGGGCGATGGACAACGGCAGAAGAAAGTTGACAAGAGAGTGTCATTCGAGAGCACAGGCTGGCAGAAAACAGAGGAAGAGGAGAGCACCGAGTGCCTCATCATGGTCTGTTTCCGGGAAATGCCCCCAATTGTCTGACTCTTCAACAGAAAAACTTGGCTTCATCTGAAGAAGAGATAACAGCCAAGCTGAGCCAAGAGATTGGGTCTTTCCCGAAAACTGTGCATGCCGAGAGTTTGTTGGACCTTGTTGATGAAAATGTCTATTCATTGTTGGAGGACTTTTCTGCTGAGCCGGACTAAACACCCTTAGCCATGGCGCTCTCTGTTGCATCGGTCAACGAGCGGGGAATCTGGGGAGCAGATAAATGTAAAGCAACGATTCATTATTTGCGGACTCTAAAGAGAGACATTTATTTTTTGCAGGAATGTCACCTGCCTTATTCCCTTGACCAGGAAAAACTGACTGAATCCTGGGATAGACAATGTTTTTGGTCTGGGAGCAATGCTAACATGTTCCGGGGTTTCCATCTTCATAGGAAGCCGAAGTGTGGAGTTACAGGAGGCCCAGGAATTTGTTCCTGGCCGACTGCATTATGTCGATGCCATATATAGAGGAACCGCAGTACGTCTGATTAATGTATATGCTCTTACGCAGTGTTCGGAGTGAGTGGTGCTGTGGA